ACTATCGAAAGATATTTTGCCACCAAGCAAGTCGTTTCAGGGTCCTCATCTGCTAGCAGTATGGTTATAATCCAGGGTTCCATAGGGAGGTGATGTCTTTGTAAAATAGAAGTAATCCAACAGGATCTGGGGTCAGTCCACTGGTGGCAAAATAACATAAGATGATCTAAGGTCTCTATTGCACCTGATCCACAATCACACAATCTATTTGAGTACTGTATTTTAGCAAAACGGCCACTTAGCTCTACAGTTGGAAAAACATTCAGCAGTTCGAAAGCAAGAAATTGCAAGTAGGTAAATAGGTCCCACTTCGGTGGGAAGGTAACAGCGTTCCGTGCGCCTTGGTGTTTAGTCATGCCGGCCACATGACCACGGAAACGTCTTCGGACAGCGCTGGCTCTTCGGCTTTGAAACGGAGATGAGCACCGCAACCCTAGTCGGATTCGACTGGCTTTCGAGCAAGGGAACCTTTACCTTTAAAACAATTAAAACAAAAAAAAAATGTTTAATTGTCTTTGCACAAGCCCATCGCAGGGGTAGAATGTCTTAGAATGAGGGTGGTGGGCTGCATTCAGCACAAAACCATTGGCGGCACTGCAGCTGAAAGGGGAGCAAAGTTACTCCTCGCCATTTGCGTCTGCAGCTGTCCTGGGAGCTGCGTAAGGGGACAACCAAGGAGAAGGGGTTTCTTGTCTCTAAAGGTCCAGAGGTTTAGCTTCTCAGGATCCCCGTGCCTGCCATATTCCATGTGTGGAGTGCAGTTCTGGATTTATAGCCCTTTGCCCATGTATGAATATGATATTAAATATGAAAGGCCTCCTCTTGTGACCTCTTTGACCAAGGGGACATCGAAGGAGAAGTAGTTCCATGTCTCTAAAGGCCCAGAGGTTCGGCTCCTCAGGATCCCCGTATCCCATGTGTGAAGTGCAGCACTGGATTTATAGCCCTTTGCCCAGGGCTATTTTTGGGCAAGAACGCACAGGAACGGAGTTCCAGCTGGCTCCCGAGTTGGCCACGCCCAGCAGGAACTCATTAGCATAATAGGCCACACCCAACAGCAGAAACTCATTAGGATTGGCTACAGTAGGGGTGTGTGGCCTAACATGCAAAGAAGTTCCTGCTACAAAAAAAAAGCCCTGGGTTTTGACAACAAAGTAAATAGAATAAGAAGCAAAAGGTGGGTGTGGCTGGATGACCGCACTTCTGGTAACACAGGGGTGTGGCCTCATATGCTAATGCTAATGACATGTGCTGTCAGGGGTGTGGCCTAATATGCTAATGAGTTTCTGCTGTTGGGTGTGGCCTATTATGCTAATGAGTTCCTGCTGGGCTTTTTCTACAAAAAAGCCCTGCCTTTGCCCATGTATTAATATGATATCTTGACTTCAGTCTGACCTAAACCCAGATGTTTCTCCTCTTGGTTGTCGGAAGGTTGACACTATGCTGGAAGAACAAAGTTTGAGTCCAGTGGAGCCTTTAAGACCAACAAAGTTTTAATCCAAGTGTAAGTGTTCGTGTGCAAAGCGCACTTCTGTCAAGCACACAGGTTCTATTGTCTTCTCAAATAAAAGTTTGCTTTGAAGCCAAAGAACAAAGTCAGAGTCCAGTGCCCCTTTAAGATCAACAGAGGTTTAATTCAAGGTAGGAGCTCTTGTGTGCAAGGCACATTTTTCAAATACATTGGAATGGAAGGGAAGGTTCAGACTTATAGACAGGGCTTTGAAGTCCATTGTTCAAAGAGATTCTGCTATGGCTTATCTTGACTAGAGAAGGTGACACCACTGCTTGGCAAACTGGGGTGTTCACTGGCTTGAGGAAGAATGTCCTGTCCCTTTAAGAGAAGCTTAATGTGTGAAAATGGGCAGTTGAAACCTTCCGTGGCAGGGAGGAAACTCACTTCACGTTTGCTGCCGATCAAATTTGATTTATTAACTTTATTTAGAGTCACCCTTTCCTGCTCATAGGTAAAGGTAAAGGTTCCCTTGCTCGAAAGCCAGTCGAGTCCGACTCTAGGGTTGCGGTGCTCATCTCCGTTTCAAAGCCGAAGAGCCAGCGCTGTCCGAAGACGTTTCCGTGGTCATGTGGCCGGCCTGACTAAACACCAAGGCGCACGGAACGCTGTTCCCTTCCCACTGAAGTGGTACCTATTTATCTACTTGCGATTTCTTGCTTTCGAACTGCTAGGTTGGCAGGAGCTGGAACTAGAGATGGGAGCTCACTCCGTCATGCAGCAACTCAGGTCTCGAACTGCTGAACTACTGACCTTCCACAGGCTGTAGTTCAGCGTCTTAACCCCTTGAGCCACCGCAGCTCCTGCTCATACTCAAGGTAAAATCTAGCTATGCATCAGGAACAGCATAAAACATACAATAAACATTGTAACAAGACCACATTAAAAGTTAGAAAACAATGCCACGGAAACAGTATAAAAGACAATATAGGAAATGCAAAAAACGGATGACAAGAATTAGAGAAAAATGCAGTCAAAACAAGAGCCGTTAGCTATGGCCCTTAATCCCTTTGTTAAAACATCCTCCTGAACCATTCCGGTTTTATTACACTCTTGTTCTCTTTTGCAAAAGGGCCCTCCTGAAAAATTCAATTTTTACTAATTCTGGAAAAATCGATAGGAGCATGAGAATGTTTGTGAGCTCCTCCACAAAAAAGGAGCCACAACAGAGAACCCGCGGGGATGGGCGGCTGCCGATCCTAACTGTTTGCAAGGGGGACACACACCTCAAAGTAATATTCAAGACCACTGGAGGGGTCAATTTAAAAGTTGGTAACCTTTGTATTACTTGGGGAAACGACTGAACTTTAATGCTGCTCCTGACAGATGCCTCTTAACCTTCAATCTGTGTTTTAATTTTATGGGTATTTGGTCAACTCACACTTTATCGTGCGCGTGGTGGCTGGAGATCTCCCACTATTACAATGGATCTCCAGGTGACAGAGATCAGTTCCCCTGGATAAAATGGCCGCTAGATACGATTGAAGTCCCTCCCCAAATCCCACCTTCCTTAGGCTCCACCCCCAAAATCTCCAGGTACTTTCCAACCCGGAACTGGCAACCCTGAGTGTCATGCAACGCCATGATGTAGACAACAGTGACCAGAGGTCATTTCGGGGTGTGTGTGTGTCGTGGGCAGTGTTCCCTCTAAGTTGAGTTAGTGTGAGCCAGCTCACAGTTTTTTAGCCTCCGGCTCACACATTTTCGTCTTGGCTCAGGAAGGAGGGCTCCAGAGCAAACTGATCCATGCAGTAGCCAAATCGCTTGCTCACAACTTTAAGGCCGGTAGCTCACAAAGTAGAATGTTTGCTCACAAGACTCCACAGCTTAGAGGGAACATTGGTCGTGGGGGATCGCAGTTCCCCCGGGTGAGGGGAATCAAACCCGGCTCTCCCAGATTAGAGTCCGTGCTCCTAACCACTAAACCAAACTGGCTCTCCTGAGTAGATTCTCCTGAGTAAATTTAGCAGTCATGGGATAAGAGGATGGGTCCTCTTGTGGATTAAAAACTGGTTAAATGACAGGAAGCAAACAGTAGGAATCAGTGGACAATTCTCACAATGGA